GGACAATGACTTTACTTATTTTATCCTCTGGTTTCAGTTCCTCACATTTTGCGTAATTTTTTAGAATCGTAGCGGCCGACTCGTCTTTTGGCCTCAGAATGTATTCTCCTTTGAGATTAGGTTTTGCCCTGACCTGGAGCTGGGGGTACTCTTTTTCCAGGTCCACTACAGTAGCGTAGGAAGACTTACCTTCCGTGTGCTGCACTTTGAAGACCGGAAACGTAGATCTAGTCTGAGGCGCTGGGAGAGCTGGAGAAGCTGGAGAGATTAATGGGCGATGGGTCGTCATGGAGTGGCTTGTCCTGTTAGCCTTAGTCACGTGATGCCACTCGCCGTCACTTTCGGAACTGGTGTCCATTATCGATGGTCTTTTCCTACTCTGAGCAGCATTGCTGGATCGATTATAAGTCAATTGGAATTCCATGATGAAATTTCAAATGATCACTTGTGGAGTGGTCTGGTGAGTGAAGGACGTGACGTCTGGTGTACAACTGAAAACAACTGCCTTCGTTACTTCTCGTTGTTCTTTAAGCTGACGCACCTCCTCCCGCAGAGAGTCCAACTCTGTCCTCAGGGCTCCCACTAGAGTCACCAGGTCCTTCACTACAACTTCCATATTGCTATGATAATGTGTGGATGAATATGGAGAAAACTATGCACAGTATTGCGAGTGTGTCGAGATGCATATCACACGTTCATGAATGTGTAGCGACATATCATACATTAACGAGAATGTAGCAGCATACCATGTATTCGTGAATGTGTAGCAGCATACCATGTATTCGTGAATGTGTAGCAGTATACCATGCATTCGTGAATGTGTAGCAGCATATGCATTCATGAATGTGAAGCAGCATACCATGCATTCAGGAATGTGTAGCAGATATCGTGCATTCATGAGTATATAGTAACATATGCATTCAGGAATGTGGAACAGCATGCCATACATTCATAAATGTGTAGCAACATATGCATTCATGAATGTGTAACAGCATATCATATATTCAAGAATGTATATCAACATGCCATGCATTCATAAATGTGTATAGTAGTATACTGTGCATTCATGAATGTTAAACAGCATATCATGTATTCAAGAATGTGTAGCAGCATATAATGTATTCAAGAATGCCTAGCAGCATTCTGCATAGCATAAGAATGCATAGCATAAGTCAGCAATTGTGGAGAAGCTGGCAAATGTAGAACAGTATTTCATGTATCGAGAATAAATGTTTAGAATATATGTCAACGAAAGTGGAGCAGCATACTATGTTTTGATGAATGTATATGTATCATAGATGAATGTATCTATAACTACGGCTAATCACTATATATTTAAACATATCGGAAGAAGAGTTTTCTTCTGGGACTTTTAAAGTCAGTTCTTCAAGCATTTGAAAACCCAACATACACAAAAGATACTATATAGGAATGATATGATACAATTTATAAATAATATAATTGATGCACAGAACAAGTTTCGTAATTTCCTTTATGGATACCGGCTCACATAGATACTATTTAACACCGATGATACGGACAAGGCTGCTAAAGCTGCACGTAACACACCTGAAATTGAGATAGACCAAGGCATTTCCATTCTGTTGTCAAAACCACACTACTTCAAAAGACTAGGCTAACAGAAGAGCAATCACCGTCATTCAAAGGCCAGAAAGCACTTGCAGAAAGAATTTTGATATGTTTAAAACATAGAATTTATTGTATGTATAGCACACAGTGTCCCAGCGAGTGGGACGGTGTAATTGGCAGAAATAGATTGGAATATCGTTGGCTATGGCAGGTGAATTCAACAGTGAACACCCCAATATCTTTACAGCGTTGTGGTTCGAACAAAATTCGTCAGTGAAGCATTTGTTTCCGGAAATGTTCGAACGTCATCAGTTGTGAGTCGTGCAGCCCGTCCTCCAAACAAAGATCCAAAAGTGATTCCATGCACCCGCCAAACCCCCTGTTTATGAATGAAAAGCGGTTTACACACGACTCACAACTGCTGATATTCGAACATATCCGGAACATATGCTTCACTGACGAATTTTGTTCGAATCACAACGCTATAAATGCTTCACCCACGTACTACAAATACAAATAATCGCCAACAAAACCTAAACACCTAACCTAACCTATCCTATATATACACAATATGCTAATATATTATAATATTAATTTATACTTGAGAAAATTCCCGTTTTGAATGAACAGTATGTTAAAATTTATGAATGCGTCTGTGGGGTTGACCGCTGAATGTAATGGACTTGAGTCGAGGACGGGTTGAGTCGTGTGTAAACCGTTTTTTCATTCATTCAAGTTCAAGTATGTTTATTGAGACAAGAAAAAAATACATCTCAAAGGGATTGAGTAGCTTAGGCTTTTTCTACCCCCCCTCTACTTCAAGTCCCTCAAGGGGCGCACAAATTCAGTGAGTACAAATACACAAATCACAATACAGTACTAGAATTCCATTAAATATTGCAGGTTAATATAGTAAGCACAGCATATAAGTGTTACACTCTTGGGGCAAAATTCTTGTAGCTCCTAAGTATTCTATCTATCATACCATTATCACACATCCAAGCAATTTAATGTGGTACACTACTTATTTCCATATTTCTATAGTTATCAATAAGTTGACACCCTAATACATAATGTTCTAAGGTGTGGGCTTGCGGCATACTACATAATTTACACTCCTTATCTTTTTCACAGACATCAACACCGTATTGCCAGATATATATATATCCTAATCTTAATCTCATGTAAATTGAATCCTTCCAAGTAGGCTTTCCTCTGCCATAGGTGAAGGACGAATGTGTATTTATTATTTAATAATTCTTAAGTGTGTTACTACTGTCCACCATTGCCATTCTCTTTACCATTTCTTTACCCTCTTGGATCATCTTGATTCTTGTTTTTATTTGCTTCAAGGTTATCTGACATACAACATCAACAAGAATATTTTCCGTGGCCCTCTTCGCCATCTCATCAACTACCTCATTCAACAGTATTCCCACATGTGAATACTGGTCCACATAAATCTTAATTTATACCCATTTTTTTCTAATTTCTTAACATTCTCTCTACACTCAATCACAATATTCTGATAAACTGGACGTCTGCTATTTAAAGACTCTAACGCTCCTCTACTGTCAATAAAGAAACTTGCATTTTTACCACATTTGACTACTTCCTGTAATCCTGCTAATACTCCTTGGAGTTCAGCCTGCGTTGAAGAGACATTGTCAGTTAAGCGGCGTCCAATAACAGTATTTACAGTGCCGATGTCAGTGTACTCTCTGATCAAGACTCCACATCTTGCCTTCCCATCCCTAGCTACTGACCCATCACAATAAACATGTAGAGTGTTTTCTGTAGGTAATTTTCTAATTATACAATCATATGTTGCCCTCAGCTCTTCCATCTCGTCCATACTTTTTTTCTTTTGCAAGGGAATAATTACTACATCTACATTACACTCCTCCCATGGTGGTGTGAATTGTCTCTTAGGCAGAGCAATACATTCTGCAATAACATCATACTTTATAACATTAGAGCATAAGGTACTCATATATGCTCTCTTCTTTATCATACATTGTTCATTACTCCCCACCTTTTGAACTGAGGGGACCAATTCATTAGCTCCCCCACCTCTCATTAATCTAATGGCAGAGGCTACATTTATCTCTGAAATTCTATCCCCAATACTCTTCAGATTCAACTCCATTCTCATTATCTCAATCATAGCATTTCTTGGGTATCCTAAGATAATTCTCATGGCTTCATTTTGTACCTTCTCCAACTTGCCCATCCTACCTTTACCAAAACAAGAAATGATAAACATCTGGGGGTTTGGCGGGTGCATGGAATCACTTTTGGGTGATTCTCTCCTTCTGGTGTGTATTTTATTATCTCAATAAAACTGTATACAAAACTATATACACTGGTGGTTTTCTTGCGGGCTACGCATCCCCATGGCTTTATCTGGGTGGCTTTATCTTCATCAATGGGTGCTTAATCTTCGGGTAAATTAAATGGTGGCTTAATGTTTGGGTAAATTTAGGTAAATTTAAGAATAGGGGTTCAATTTTAGAGCTCATACATAAATGTATATATGTCCCTCTAACATTTTTCACTGCCGCTCACACGATGTAACTAAGGCACACACAAATTAAAAAAAATGTGGCTTTTATAACTTTTAAAATACTGAACAAATTAGAAGATATTGATCCAGACATTTTCTTCAGGTCAGATGTAACACAAACAAGGAGAAACTGTTTGAAGCTCAACAAGCCACAATATAGGATTGAGAACAGGAGATGCTTTTTCACCCACAGAGTTATTAAGCCATGGAACCGCCTACCCGTCGAATCCGTAACTGCCAAAACTGAGTTGAGTTGTAAAATATACCTGGAAAAGATTATCAAGGCAAATAGGGGGACCTTCGACAAGCCGCTGGCTTCCTATACTTGTTGAGGCCACTAGAGTTAGTGGCCCTCGGGTATATCAAAATTACGGACTGTCGCAGCAAAGAAAAGTTTAGAAGTAAGTTTAAATGAAACCCAAAACCGACATAACAGGAACATGTCACAATCAATATATAAGAAGTTATTAATTATATATATAAATTAGACTATATGAGAGAAAACATAATTCAGACATAATATACATATATACAATATGATATGCAAGAAAAAATATGAAGATAATAATAATTCAGTGTTAAAATCTTTTGCTGTGGATAATAATTACAGCGATTTAAGTCTCTTAAACAGAAAAACAAATATGAACAAACTGAAAATAAGCTCAAAACATTCAATTAATTAATTTATCATCCGTATTCTGGAACACAGGATAAATCTATGAAGAATATGAACCGACTTGGCCGAGAAAAAGGGTGTCTGAGTGTACAGTAAAAGGTCTTGGGTCGGCCGAGTGGTGCCAGGAACCTCCAACGGGGCGACTTAGAGCGTTGGATCCCACACGCGGCGGAGGAAGGTGCTTGTGGCGGCGGCTGGCGGCTGGAATATTCGAGTACACGCACGAGGCTGGCAGACCACTCGGCGTCTATTGAGTGACCAGAGAGCAGACAGCAGAATGGCGGACAACAAACTGTACGATGTTCTCGGCGTCTCCCGGAGTGCTTCAGACGCAGACATCCGCAGAGTAAGTGAGGGGCGCGAGGAGGCTCCTCCAGGCCCCGGGGACCGAGACTCTACCGCCTCCTGAAAGCCAAGTCTTGAGTATTATCTTAGTGGCGGCTCCTCCGTATGATCCCCCCCCCCATTGTAGTACTGTAGGGAGAGTGAACAAAAGTATTCATGTGGGGGTTCGAGACCCAATTAATACTATAACTACTGGGTAGAAGGAGATAGTTGAGAGTAAGGTAATGTTGGGAGGGTGAGAGGTGGGCCGCCCGGGACCTCCTCCACGGGTGCTGGCCTCGGGGGGCCTCTTACATGTAGATTTTTACACAAACGTGTAACTTAATGAATTTTTGAAACTGTTGGTGGGGTTTATGAATAGTTTTGGACTCTTAAATAAAATTTTGAGCATATAGACCCCCAATTATTGCATCATGAACTGTCAAGGGAATGAAAGATAAAAGGATAGTTTATGGTTTTAATAGCATATTTTTTTTTTTTTTACCTTGGATAATGTATGGGGGACTTGTGGTTGTGTGGCCACTTGGCCTTGTGCAGTTGCACTTCTTATATTCTGGTGTTTTGTGATTGTAGAAACTGTGGATGTTAACCATATTTATTTCATGAATTTTTTCCTGTTGGTTATTTGTAATCACGGAGTGTGGTGCAGGAAGCCAGCCGTGGTGGGTGGTAAACAGTTGTATGCGTTTATTACTCTCTTTGTTGAAGAAACGTCTATTTGTCCTACGGTTTGGCTTATGTGTATTGAGACTATTTTTCCACCAGCAAATTATGGTGTAACAGTGAATCTGCATTTAAAACTTTGCATAAACATTAATAGAGTATATTTTTAATTGGGCTATTTCCAAATACAAATATTTATTCAGGTAAAGTACATACATACAAGGCGAGATACAAAAGTTGATGGATTTCTAGATAGAGCTAGTACATACAATGCCTAAAGCCACTATTACACAAAGCGTTTCGGGCATTTCTTTTGCTAGTTTGAGTTAAAGAATTAGTTTTGGTTAACTTTTTGGCATTTTGTTTTGTTTTGGTGAGAACTGGTTTGGCATGTCTTTGTTTGCTGTTGTTACTCCTGATGCCTTCATCTTTTCCTGGTATGAGACTTGACTTAGTTCTGGATTGATTTATGTCGCTTCACTGAACCTTTTGTAATGTAATATAATGCTTAGATCAGGGACAACTTTACTGTATTTTCCTTGAAGCTAATGGTCATTTGATTATTAATATGGATTTTTTAGTGCAGCTGTTCTATAGCCATACTGGCTTAGTACACTATACTCATAATTACCTTACCTTTTTAACTGCAGCTGCTGAATGCTATACAGCTTTCAATGACCGATGAACATTGTTTTATATTGACTCTCTGTGAGTTTCATAATCCCTTGGCAAGGCTGCAATATAATTTTAAGTACACCTGTGTATCCTCAAATTTAATGCCATGGTGTGTGATCTCTAATGATAATGTACTGGTACTGGCATTATATGAAACTGGTACGCTATTATAAGAAAGGTTGACTCATATAAAATGGATCCGTGTGACATTTTACGCAGTTTTGTTATTCTATTTAGGATTTTGTTCTTGCTTTAATCCATAGATGATGGGTTTCCCCAATACACACACAAATTACAATAATGTGATACATCAAATGAACAAATCCACAAGGGCCATGATGAGGGATTCGAATCTACGTCTGGGATGATCCCAGATGCACCTTAGTCGATTGTGCCACAACATAGTCAAAAGAATTGGAACTGGGAGTGCTACTGCCCTCACACGGCCCTTGTGGATTTGTTCATTTGATGTATCACACTATTGTGATTTCTCTGTGTATATTGAAGGGCGAAGAGGTAGAACAGCGTCTTGACATAGCCCGGGTGCATGGGGGAATTGTGTAAAATTCCGGTTTGTGTCTCGGAGAGGCTGCGAGATCCACGTGAGGGCAATAGCATTCCTGGTTGTAATTCTTTTGACCATGTTGTGGCGCAATCGACTAAGGCGAGTTTGGGATCTTCCCGGACGTGGGTTCGAAACCTCATCATGGCCCTTGTGGATTTGTGTATGATGGGTCATGTCATGATTTACTGTATTTTTGTTTGTAAGTAAATAGAGCATTGTCATAAGGTATTTTTTCACAAGAAATTTAGGGAAATTTGGTTTTGCTTTTATGTCCTACAGTTGCCAAGATTTGATATCTCTTGTTATTACATAAAATTTGTATTAAGAATTTTTAAATGACACCATTTCCAAAAATATTTATTCACAAAAAGATTGAAACTTTATTATGTTTCTCATTTCTCCCCAAATCATACAAAAAATGGTTAGTGTAACTCCTAGACTAGTTATTAAAATCTTAGAATCAGATATCGATATCGGAATTTCATTAATTTGAAATTTTGTATATAAAGTTGAAGAAAGTATTCAATTTGTTTAATATTTTTGAATATTGAAAGAACTACAGTTGTTCTGCAGAACAATGATTGAGAGAATAGTGCCCCCCCCCCCTCCCCAATATATTATCCATTGTTTTATCCATTCCATTTATTATACCAGCAAATCTATGTGCTTGTGGTTTCCAGGCCAGTGTTTTGCGTGGTACGCTATAATGAGCCTTGAGGTCCATATAATGTTCACCGTTGATGGAGAATCCTTTGTACACAATGCTACATAATTCGCCAAACTATAGTATATAGTTTTATATACTATAAAACCATAAAACATGTAAACAAGAAAAATACATTAGTTGATTAGATACCCTTTGAAGGCAATTTAAAGTTCTCTTGAGCACTACAAGGAGTCAGTCGGCTACAATAATACTGTAGTTCAGATTGTCAGTGAATGACTGTTTTTCATAAAATGTGATTGACTTAATAAAAAGGCTAAATTGAGAGAATGGGACAATCATATCTTGGTGGGTGCTTGAAATGCAGAATTGTGTGTGGAAATGTTTGTACCCTGTATGGATGGAATACAGTAGAATGAAGTCGTGGAAACCATCTCGGTTCACATCTCAGAGCAGATATCATAAAACTAAAATGACCAAGTTTAATTCACCAGAAAGGCTAGAAGGCAGGGGGAGGAGCTAGACCTCGCTTGTCACCATTAGATGAGGCACACAAATGCAACCACTACAAACCACCAAAACTGCCACTGCCCAAGCTGTTAATTGGAAAAAACTGTACTGGTATAATTTAGAGTGGAAATTGGCATAATTAATAACTTTACAGACAGACCAATATAATTGCAGTACATACTATCTTGTGTATTGACGAGCATATAGTTACAGTATTCCAAAATCTGTTTCACTTCAGAGTTACCGCAAACTTGCAAAGGAATGTCATCCGGACAAAAACCCTGCAGCAGGTGATAAGTTTAAGGAGATCTCGTTTGCTTACGAAATACTTACAGACCCCCAGAAACGTGAGATTTATGATCGATATGGCATGAAAGGACTCCAGGTAAGTAAACAATGTTTGCAACAATATTATGGTGGATGTTTGGGTAAGCTTTTTTTGAGATGTTTAATAAGGCATTCAAACAAAAGAGGCAGATGACAAGCTGGGAGTGAATGATGGACCATGTACCTCACTGATTTGTAAGGTACAAATTCCAGCTCTTGAGCAAAATAAAATGGTTGTGTATGACTTTGCATAATTGGCAGTGCATTAAGTGAAAATATTGTCTGCATATATGCAATTGTTTTTCCTATATGTTGGTACTGTATTGGTTTTAGGCTTTTGAAATGAAATCAAATGGACTAAAACTGTTGTTTGAAAAAATACAAGGGTGTATATATTATAGGAAAGAATGATGATCCTTGGGAGAGCTGTAAAAAAGCATTATTTGGTATTTAAGGAAAAGGTTGTTGTCATAGCTATAAAATTAACATGTTATAATGTAGTAGTAAAGTGGTGTGTAGTACAGTAGCATGAAAAATGGGATATTAACACGTATGTGTATGATGCAAGGTGATCGAGAAAGCATAGATGCATTGAAGTTGGACTGGATTAGGGCCCAAACAAATTGCTCCCGATACTGGTGCATGTGGGGCTGTGAATAAATGTTAATAATAGAAGAGGAGAAATTATTTAATATTGAAATGTATAATATGCACAGGAATTTATATTTAAATGGGACAGTTAGGAGGGATTTGTTCATGTCCAATGTAGTAAAGCAGGAATGTTAACTGGTAAGAAGTATGGATTCTGTTAACTGGAAGGCTAAAAGGGAATTCGGTAGTTCTTAAATGTCTGACTATGCTTCTGAATTTCTTATGGGTGTGGCACACCTACCAACACATTACTTGGCAATGCTTGCATTACTTGGTATCTGCTTTTCCAGTTCCTCATTTATACTGAATGTTACCTTCTTGCACTGTTCCTCCTGTCTTTTGGCACTGTAGTTGTCAAGGGCATAAGATATTCATAAGATAATGTTTTCTTACCTTGCGCTACCCTATATTTCTCTTCTTGCTTTCTTTTATCTTCCAGCTGCACTTTCTTGTGCAGTTGCCTTTATTCTTCTTTCCTATGCAACTGTATTGCATTCTTCCCAGAATCAGTTCTTGTATTCTACAACACAGGATTTTCCTAGTGTAGTGTTTTCCAGGCCGAGGTCCCATAGTCATGCAGTCCCTAAATGAATGATTTCCTCATTTTTTGTTAATTAATGTTTTTTAATCTAATTTTCTAACGTCCAAAATATTTATACTTCAGTTTGGCTACATGTTCCAAAAGAATAGTTGGTAGTTTGGAAGAAACATTTCCATTTACATGAATGAAAGCTTAACATACAGTACAGGTTAATTTATATTTGGCAAAACTATTTAATTATAAAAAATGTTAATTTCCAACTACCTGAATGACTCCCATTTAGCCAGTGTTAGCCCTGAATATTTAAATAAATTAATATTAAACCAAGTTTAATGGTTTCAGCCAAATATGAGCTAACCAATGTAACAAGTAATTTGCATCAAAAAGAAACATTGTGATATTCTAATCTCTATATAGAGACTAGAATCAGTATTTGTTCTGATTATAAAAAACATGTTACGGAAATTTTTTTTATATGCACAGTACAATAACTTTTTAAACTATTTTCATAATTTTATATAATCTTTCTAACAAAAAAAAACAAATACATTTCATTGTCAGGAAGGAGGAGACAACAGCTTTGCTGGGGCAGAGGACCTCTTTGGGCACTTCTTTGGGGGAGGTGGGCCATTTGGTGGACTATTTGGTGGGTTTGGTGGAGGTGGCCTCAGACACGCACAAAGGAGAGGGCCAAGAAGAGGGGAAAATACTGTTCATAGGCTAAAGTAAGTACTGTGCCTGTATACGTTTTCTTTCCCTGATATTCTGATGGTGTGCATGTGAAGTCATGTGGAAGGGCACTAGTTTTACCGGCTGTAAGTGCTTTAAAATTTGCATGATCAACTTATTGCATTATATATATACAACACAATTGGTGAAAGATGATATACCTATAATGAATGCCTAGTGTTTCTCAAGGTACAAGAAAGCAGTCAGGTGCCACCTATGAATTGTCTTGTAATTGTAATGTTGTAACATTACAGTATTAATTACTCCATTTGCTGTATTTTATTTTGCCTGGAGTATACATAGATTGGGTTCTGGGAGTTGTTCACTCCAAGCCTGGCCTTGAGCCATGATTGACTTAATGATAGCCTAGTTCAACAGGCTGTTGCTTTGTGAATAGCCCACAGGTTCCCTATGTCCACTACTACCTGGTGGGTCTGGCACCATAAAAAAAAATAAAAGTTTAATATGACAGATTATGTATGAGATTGTCACGATTATGCCCTTGTTTTTGTTATTAACAGCAAGTATGCAAAGGACTATGTTGAACCTATGCAAGTATGTTCAAGTATTATACATTGATTTAGAAGACTAAAAAAGTAGATATGACAGTTCTAAGATTAAATTTCACTTGATACCCAAAACTGAAAGAGAGTTCCAAGAGCTAATCCTCCCTCCTCACACACGTACGGGCAGGAATACAGGTAAAATCGGGGCCTGAAGATGATCCGTTTTAAAATATCGTGTCCATGATATGCATTGACAATTATTCAGGGCAGCTGTAAGAACAGTTTCAGGCATAGTGAGGTCAAAGGGTTTTGTGAAGATTAATTTGAATCATTTTATATTGACCAGCACTGTTAGTGAGGTGGTGGTGTCCTGAAGTGCGCAGGGCTAAATCTGCCACAAAGCCGAGGTCTGGGTCACATTTTGACATAAGTGTTTACTAGGGTAACCTGTGGCAGGATCCTAAGTTTTCATTAGTTGAAAGAAGTAAAGTACAGTACTGTATTGAAGGTTCCAAGACATATTGTCCTTAATGTTTTAGTGAGAGTTGGATGGTGCTAGAGGCTTTTTTTTAATACAATATATATAATTTTGTATTGGAGGCCACTATTGGGATCTGGGGATGCTTTCCTCAGTCATTTCATGCAATCTAACTTTTCTATTTTATTTACTTCCTCAGAGTTTCACTGGAAGACTTGTATAATGGCAAAGTTTCAAAATTACAGCTTTCTAAGAATACTATCTGCACAGCATGTGGAGGGTAAATATGTTGTTTTTCTTTACCATATTTATTAGCAAACTTGATGAAAGAGAAGAGGTGGGACTGTGAATGTGAGTGCATTTAAAAATTTGAAAGGGGGTTGAGTGGGTTTGAGTGAACAAAACACATGTGCTTGTGGCTGAGTGGACAATGCTGGGGGGGGGGGGGGGATCGTAGTCCTTATTTTCTGGCTTAGATTCCTGGCAGTTACGGAAACAAATGGGTAGAGTTTTTCACCCTGATGCCCCTATTCACCTAGCAGTAAAAGGGTACCTGGGAATTAGACAGCTGCTACAGCCTGCTTCCTGGGGAGTGTGTGGGGGATGGGGGGGGGGGGGGAGATTGTGTTTGCATGCATGCATGCCATTTTTCTACAGGCTGATGCCTCCCTACTCGATATAAAGTGGGAGATCAACCTGTTCTCTTGAACAGTAAATCACATTTTGATGTATAAATCTCCCTAATGCATCAGTGGTGCAGTGGTAACACGCTCTACTGTTTTCAAGCAATTTGCCCGAGGTTCTTTTTCTGGCTGGGGAGGATTGACTTGGTGCCAGCCCTTAACTGTGTGCCTCTGTTCATCCAGCAGTGATTGGGTACCTAGTGGTTAAACAATTGGTGGGTCATATTTCAGGGAAAGTAGCAGATAAGGTTTACCATAAGCAATGTGATGGGACGCTCTCGCCCTACTGTTTATTTTAAATATAGATAGTTTTAATTTTAAACTAACGTATTAAAAATCATAGCTACCTTGAGGTGCTTCCGGGGCTTAGCGTCCCCGCGGCCCGGTCGTCGACCAGGCCTTAGCTGCTTAAAAAATTTGTCCTGTTTTGTACTCGTGGGTCCTCGGGTTAGGTTCTCGCAGTTTAGTACATTAGTTTAGTGAAGTGAATGTTTGAAAGGATGCAGATGAGGAGTCACAATAACGTGGCTGAAATATGTTGACCAAACCACATGCTAGAAAATGAAGGGATGGCGACGTTTCGGTTCGTCCTGGACCATTCTCGAGTCAATTGTGTGACTTGAATTCTCACACAATCAACTTGAGAATTGTCCACGACGGACCGAAACGTCGTCGTCCCTTTACTCTCTAGTGTGTGGTTTGGTCAACTTGGGAGGATGGAGAGATATTTAATAATAAATGAATTAAAAGCAATAATCTGTTGCTTGGTATATTTTTGTAACTGCATAAATTTTGTAGAAATATTTGCTGTTAGTCATTACTTAGTCACCAGAAGGATATCTTATTTATTTGTAATTGTTGTTAACTCTTGGCAGGTAAGAGGAGTGATTTTTCATTACAACTTGATTAGTATTTTTGAAGTTGGATATAATTTGGGGTAATTCGGAATTCGGTGAATGTGTGGACATTTGGCAAATATATTACAATGTAGAATTATTATCAGTGGTGATAGGGGCTTCAATAAATAAAGCATTTCATTTCCAGAATATTTAATATTAAAGGTTTATGGAATAAGCATTTGAATAACATGCTCTAATATTTAAAAGTCAACACGAATTTGTATTTTATCATTCTTACATTTACAAGCAGCATTGCCTTGTGTCTAAAGTTTAGATGTAAAAAAAAAAATAATGATATTTTACAATTGTCTTCAGTTCAATCATTTATTTAAAAGGGAGGGTGGACCAGCTGGAGCTCTACAACCTTGCCGAACATGCAGTGGGCGCGGAATCAAGATTACTATTACCCAACTAGGCCCAGGAATGGTGCAACAGATGCAGTCTCGTTGTCCAGATTGTGATGGTGAAGGTGGGATAATGTTAACCAACTTGTTACTTCATTCAGCAAAGCCATTGTATGTACTTGTAGAATTGGTGCAATGTTATAATACCAAAACCTTTGCTAGATAGTGCATGTTATGTACACATCAACTTTATATGTTGACTTTGTATTAGCTGTTAAAATAATACATGAACCTCATTATATAACTACACACAGTTTGGCTTTTATGAAACAAATGCCTGAAGTTTGTTTATTATTGTTTTAAATTGATAAAATTCCCACTATCTTGTTAATATATCCATGCCTGCATAAGTTGTCTGCATTTGCCTTGCACAAGTGATATGGTGTTTATATCCTAGCATGAGATAATGATGGGCATTGATTGATTTAGAAGGTTAACCATTGCACTGTGATTACCTTAATTAATTATAATTTTAACCTTAATTAAATGACACGCCCCTTTGCTCAGAAAAAAAATATTTCCAAAATCTTTATTTCATTCCAAAATTAATACCCTTCCCTGATCACTATGTTGAAATAAATGTAAACTAACATTTTGGCCACAGTGGTGTCCACAAAATGTGAAGTCACGGTCGGGTGGTCTCCTTGGAGACTCGTGGAGGCGTTTGTGAGGGTGGTTCAACAAGAGAGTTGCCACAAGTTTTTGCTTTGCAATCTAATTGTAATGTATATTTAGCTTTTCTTGCTTATTTTTTGTATATTCATTTGTTTTATAATTATACAGCACATCTGTATTGTTCAAGGGAACTGTTACATGTCACTGTGTCCACAAACATTGTTCATATTCCCAATAAAACATGTTCAATTCTACAACTTGTACACTTTACACCACCAGACCATATACATCATAATAAGCAGTACTGCATGAGTGTGATATAATCACTGAAAGTCAACTTCACACAATGCAACTTTACATTCAATGAACCATGTATAGACAGGTTTTGTCTCGATGCTGCACGAGTGGCTCATCGACTACACCTAAAATATTCAGTCATATTACCACCAATATAGGGGAATGTGGGTGTAACACCAACTGTTTGATCAAATGTTTGTATATGAGACAGAATTCTCCCCCACAAGTACACCTGTGCTGCTTCTGGTGCCAATACCATGGCCAACACCAGCGCGGGCGCCAACACTACAGCTTCGTTGTCTTGAACTAGAGCTTCATGGGCCAGGAGATGAGGCTCTTCAACATAGTATAGGCCCACCATGAACATTTGAGATTTATGATTCATTGAATTAATGATTTTTTTTATTTGATGGCAATTAATATGGTGGAACCTTGATTCAGCAAATCTCCAGTTGGAACGCACGCTTTCCAGGCCGAATTTACTTGCCCGAGTCGATGAAGAGGAGTTCTTTGAAGTAGGGGGATGTGTGTATTTGCTTAGGATGTTGGAACAGAGTTCACAGATGGAGTTAATATTACAGGAAACAGTTAGGGCATTGAGAAAGACGTATTTAAAACCAAATTATATCCGCCATTTTTTATTTTGATAATCCCTAGTTTTTGTTTGCAAATTTGGGTCCTTTTTCCTTTGAAATTGAGGTTTTGAGTCTAGGGTGTGTGAAATACGCTATATGTAATTATAGACTCTTTATAGACAAGTTCTCTTGGTAGTTGTCCTTCATATGACAAGTTGAAGTTAAAATTTTGCTCTTGTGAAATCAGCTAGCTCATAGTGCGTGGGAAATATTAGGCACGAGAGATAACACTCACCAATCATGTTTTTAATTATTTGTGTAAATGGATACTACATTACAAGAAACGGTTGAAGCCTTGGGAAAGCTATTGATGAGGTTATTTAAAAAAAATTCTATGGCTTGCTTGCAGTTTGAGTTTTTTCATTCACTCGGGTATGGCCCTAATATCTTTAGGAAATGAGTTTTGAGGCTGGAGATGTGAGGAATGAGCTAGATGTGGCTAAATTTCTTTACAGACATAGTCACTTGGTAATTGTTCATTATATTAAAAGTTAAAATGAAAATTTCACTGATATTAACCCATGAGGTGTGAGAAATGAGTCTTGGAGAGGCATCCCTAGTTGCAATGTATTAGGGTTGGTCCCATATAGATAATTGAATTGAGGTTGTACTGTAAAGGAATTTAGTACCATAAATTGTTTCAATAATTACCACTGTAAAAATATAATGAAAATATTTCTAGAAAATTCAAAAAGGGGGAGGAATTGAGGAGACCTGGGATCACAGAGGGAGGAATGTGGTGGACTCCCTGAGAACCACTGTAGCTACCTGTTTGTCAACTTTACTGAATTTTAACTTGTATGTTGTTTAAGATGATTATCCTGTGTTATATCATCCCTGTCAGTGATTTCAGGGTAGGCTGATTAACTCTCTATGCCCTTCCTGACTTTTAGCATTTTACTAGTGCACTAATCATTTATACATCTGTTTCAAGTTCTTGTTTTGATGATTCTTGAAGTTGTGAAGAAAAAAAATTGATGAACAAGTAATAAGTTATTGAGTATAACTGTTTATTTCTATTTGTATAGACATGCAGATACATTATTAAGACAGAGGTTAATGATTGCCTTCTTTTCCAGGTGAAGTAATCAATGAACGTGATCGATGCCAAGTATGTATGGGCCGCAAGGTTACCCCACAAACAAAGTTGTTGGAGGTACATGTAGATAAGGGAATGAAAGACGAACAGAGAATTACTTTCCGTGGTGAAGGCGATCAGATGCCAGGAGTCGAGCCGGGTGATGTTATTATAGTCCTTCAGGTAATAATTTCATTAGACATTTAATTAATTCATTATGCTTTCATTTTTTGCGTATGTATCCTCACAAACTGTACTTTTTTTTTAATGCAGTATCCTTTAGAAAGACCTGGTAAGGTAATCAGCCTTTTACAGTAAATGGCTCTTGTGTTTACAGATCATCTCTGCCTCTAAACATATAATCATATTTTAGCCTACTTGCAACTTTTAGAATGGTAATACAAAATATGCCAGGGGCTTGATAAATGTTTGCATAATGTGTGTGTTTTGTATGTTAGATACAATATTGCAAAGCTTTTATGGTTAATTTCTTCTAAAACTACACAAATTGTTGTTTTCTGAAAATCTATGACTGCTGCTATCTTTTAATTTTTTTATTTGTTTTATTTATTTATTTTTGTTTTTTGCAGGAAAAGCCACACGAGGTTTTCCAGCGTAGCGGTTCTGATCTGATGATGAAGCACACTGTCACTCTAACAGAGGCATTATGTGGTTTCACTACAGTGGTTAAACATTTAGATGGCAGGAACCTAGTCATTAAACATCCGCCTGGTGCCGTTTTAGTTCCAGGTAAGATCACATGCTTTAACATTAGCTTGCATAAATATTCGGACGTACATTACTAAGTGTAAATGGGTTTTCTTTGTGAATACTTACAGGTATCCTAATTGTTTCTCTTTCCTAAGAATTTACATCTAAGTCATTAGTCAAGTACCCAAAACTTTGCTGTGCATAATCCAAATGTAAGTTCTCAAGGTCAGCTTGTCAGGTTCTTCATATTCTGATAATCTTGAATTTTCTCAGAGGTCACTTGAATGCTTTAGATGCCTAGCAGTCAATCAGCTGGTAGGTTAATTGTAAATATGCTCTTCTGATGAGGAAAAGTTGTCCAAATTTCTACGATAAATTGAAAATCTCCTATTTTTAGGTTGTGTGCGTGGTATAGAAAAAGAGGGCATGCCGTTGTTCAAAAATCCCTTTGAAAAGGGAGATCTTTATGTTCGTATTGAAGTTGAATTCCCTGAAAATTATTTTGCCCCCGAAGCAAAATTGAGGGTAAGTACCGTACTTAATTTTTTTTTCGTCTTCTCATTCATGTATGCAAGTTCTTAATTGTTAAAAAGTTAAAAAGTTCTAGTTCTTATACACATTTTTAATATGGTTCTAAAAAAATTATTTTGCAATTACAATTATTTTGCAATTACAATAATTTTACAATTATTATTTTGCAATAAAATTTTGCATTTTTTCAAAGATGGCATTTGTTTAATGTAGGTCTGAGGAAGTGGATGTGATCCCAGTGTACCTACATGACTTTTAATTCTTTTGCTTTATCTAAAATTGGCCCTGGTTGATATGTACAGTTGAAGGGGCTTACAGAGTTGAATGGTCTTATTACTGTGTAGTCACCTAATTGGAGTTAAAAATGAATATTCTTGTAACTGGGTTGTCTTCTTGGGCAGCACAAGAAGGCAACTCAAATTTTCTGCTTTGTGGGCACATTTTCATGCTTTTAACAGTGTAGGAATGTAGTTCTTGCTGATAGTTCTTAAAATTGGACTTGTTACCCAGGAATTGGAAGCCATTTTGGGAGGACGACCTGCTGCAGCGCCAATTCCAAGTGATGTGGAGGAAGTTAATATGTCAGATTTCCATGAGAGTTCTGGTGCAGGCGGCTCTCGAGGTCAGTACTGCGACGACGACGACGATCATCCTCACATGGGTGGACAGCATGTACAGTGTGCACACCAGTAATCAGGAAAGTTAAGGGTATTGAAATAGCAAATGTTGCACAGTCATATCTTGTGAATTGGACCATTAGAAAGCAATTTTGAAAAGTTGTCTGCCATGTTACTGGGACTGGATAGTAATTTGGCCGCCTGAAGAAATCCATGTATGTATGGTGTTTAATATAAATTAATCGGCTCTTCAGGATGTGATAGCTATAATAAATTTTGGTTAACTTCATTGGCAAGTCATGCCCACTAATGGGTGTGGTTATTTAGTTTTGGCTCGTTTACCACATCTTCATTGGATTAAAAATGGTAAGAATATTTTTATGGTACTATCATGCATACATGTTTACTTGATACATATTTTGATTAAATATATACAAAAATATAATTTGTTGCAAGTTTAAACTTGATTATTCATGTATGCTTTTTTCACTTTTTGAAATATCTTATATTTAATATTTGTGAAACTAAATTTATTTCAACGTTCACGTGAACCATTTAGGCAACTGTTATAATCTTGGCATGATTAGTTATTAATGCAGTTTAATACATGGAGGCCATGACTTGGAACAAATAATTTTTCTCTTGGAAGTCGACTATAAAGCCAATCTCAATTGTCTAATGTGCAATGCTGCTGCATCTATTTCTGCCACTGATTATAATGAGGCTCAGACGGTAACAGGATCAGCTGTTTTCTGTGATATGCCATATCCTTAAATTTTCCTTTACTTTAGCTTAAGGGGGCTTCATGGCATCAGGTTAATGATCTGCATTCCAAGTCCATAAGACCCAAGTTGGATTGTGGTGTTTGAGAGAGAGGAGGGTCGGCAGGCATCACATCAGGTTATGTGCACCACGGGTCATTTGTCATGTTGTCCCAGACTTTAGCTGATTCTTCTTGCCTAAAAGGATGCTGCCCCCACGAGAGTGGGAGACGTTATACCCTGCTATTGATTTCTCTACATTTTATTAATTAAAAGGCGAGAGTCTGTAGGATAATAAACATTAGAATATAGTTGCTTGCTCTTAGCAGCAGTGACCATGATTATTGGCATAGGATCCATACTCTTAATGTCATGAAATTGGTATCCATAACTGTTTTGTTAGATTATTTCACTTATGCATGTATTTTTTATTTTTTTTTAATACTCACCTATAAAATGAAGATAAAGTTGATGGGTGCTTTTTGATTAATTTACAATGGCTTTTATGTGACATTCTGAACATTGTCATACTCCAGCTGCCTATAAATAAATGGATTTATTTCCAAGATATTCCATACAATGTCAAGGTTTAGTTTAAATTCTCCTGAAGCAAAATTATTATTAATGAGGCTTTACAAAAGGAGAGACCGAGGCTTAAGTGTTGGTGGTGACCCAAGAAGCCTGATATGGTATGCTTCGTAAGAGCCAGCAGTAAGCACTATGTTGCTTAGCTGATGTAATTAAAAAATAAGTCAATGTCAACTGCTTCCTTTATCATTGATTTTAGATTTTTTGTATCATTAATTATGCAAAAAATTAGGGTATTGATGAAATAATTTAGTATTGTATATAAAGGTGGTATTTTTCCTGGTAACTGGAGGCAACCATTCTTGAAACATTCACATTCAATTGAACCATGGATGGAATTCCCATTTAGTGGAGGTTGGATTTATTTTAGATTAATTTGCATTAGTTTTCAAGGTAAACATTCCCAGTTTAGTTTGTATCTTTTCATCGTTGGATTTCTGACGTAAAACTATGTTGGCCAATTATTACTGAAGCATAACATTTTAAAAGCAGCATGAATGCTGTCGATTCAGACGCTGCATCCGAGGCTAAGGTGGGATGTGGGGTCAGGACGGTAGATACACTGTACAATTATCATGGATAAAATTATTTCAAGTACTGTAGTTAAGGAGTATATATAGTGTTTTTCTGTCTGTATCTGTGTAACTGATATACCACCTGAGAGTGCAGCTATGTCTTGGTTTCATTGTATTTAATGTGTTTGTTCTTAAATCAAGATTTAATTGCACTTCCAGAATAAAAAAAATGAAATGCAAATTTTAAAGTGTATTAATTTTCAAGCCATCCCTTTTGGTAGTTACAAAGTTTCTCTGAATAATTTTTACTTTGTGAGATATATTGTAGTTTTCCACTTAAAATCTGTATAGTGCTAGTTATTTTCCTGAAAGATTTGTCATAAACTGCAAAGGAAATTTTGTTTATAAAAATTTGGAATTTTCTCTATAGAAAATATAATTCAGCACTCCTAATTAACCTTAGTCCTGTGGACCCCATGCATTACTTTCACAAGGACACGTGTGGGAGGCAGCATTCATATTAGGTCTACAGTCTATTCTAAATTATGGACTTCAGTGATGGTTGTAGTGTTGACAATTTCTTATTAGAGCCATTATTAAATTATGCAGCATTTTTTGAAAGGGTGTATTTAAAACGGAGCTAAAGTACTAGTATGGCTAGATGCATTTGATACATTCTCGCTTGTACAATTAAGTGTGATCTCACTTGCTCATGCATATACACCTAAATAAGGAATTGAACATTTCTGGCTAGGTTCTATATTCTGCACATGATTAACTCTTGGACACTTGGAGCAGACCTGCACTGCTATACTCCACTCACCCTGTAGTCTCAATTTTCCGAAAGGGAAAATTTGCTCTCCTGTTCCTTTTGTGAATCTGCTCACTTTGATAATGCTCGTGTTAATTTCTTTTTTCTCATTACCATAGAAATTAATCAAACCTGAATATTCTGTAACGGTCCTAGATAGCCATCCTGGCTTAGTGCTTTTTTGATAATTGCTTGCATATTGCAATATAAGGTCTGGGATTGGCTGCATTTATAGGGTCGATAAATTGCCATTTAAAAAATCTAAAATTCAAAGTAATGAGATCCCAGCAAGAAGACACTAGTTTTTAAGTGAAGCAGTTGTCAGGGGTGAAAAGGAATGGTCAGATTATATACTTCATGGTAGGGCAGTCCAAATTATGCAGCTGCTGTATGAAACATTCAGTGCTCTTGTAAAGCCCAATAAGAAATTTGAAAGGGTCAAGGAGTCTTAATAGTTGTAATCGGTAACATTACAGCATTCATAGGATGAGTGGAAGAAATCATATAAAGGAAATTTATCCAAAATATAAGTACATTAAAATAATTTTTACTATTACTGGTTTTATTGGTCATTTACCTTTATTTTATAATGTGTGTGTGTGTTGTCCAAACTGCTTTTTCTTGTACATCTTGTTGAATGTCCTGATTTTCAGGACACTCGTGTGGCATCCTGACTGTCTCTTGGGGTCATTTGTCCCTCGATAGACTACTTTGCAAATCCAATACTTTTTGATATTGCTCGTTTTGTGTGGTTTTGTTCTCGTATTGACACACATCCTTAGTGTTATTTAGCATCAGTTGCATCTCCTGCGACATTGATGGTGCTACAGTGTGTGTCTGGCTTGGTGCCTTCTCTTGATAATTGCTTATAATATGTGTACTGTAACCAGTATGCTATATATGCATGTGTTTGCAAAGTGGGCTATTTTTCACAATAGCACAAAGCCTATAATGTGGATTATGGAATGAAAGGAATAAATTGGAAGTTGGAATAAAAGGAGGATCGGTATAGGATGCTGATCGATAAATCTTATTGATACAGCATATAGATAGGATTTATTCATTAACTAATTTGTGCATTTAGATGTTAGTGTCTTCAAGATTGGAGTCTTATTTACAGCACATGTTTTGAAGCACACTATTTTGAGGAAATATATTTGGCCTGAATTGAAAAGTGCCAAACCCAGTACGACTTTAAAAAGTCCTTTCAGGTAAAATGGTATCTCCAACGGTGTTAGCTCTCAACTTGGCATTTCTCAACATCGTTGTCAGCACCTTGTGCTGTACTCAGCTGTGTTTTACTTTAGCTTGTATCTTTATTGATCTCCAGGGTTAAAAAAAATAAAGTGTAATAAAGCATGTATTAAAGTTGATGCATCCCAGAGAGTGGATTTGATGAGTTTTTAATAATAATATATTAATGTAATGGAATAATATCTTGACAAATATCAACTCTGTACCTGTACGAAGCATATCTTGCCAACAAGCACTTGCCTCTGCTTTATATATAGTAGTTTGTTGATAAATTCTTAAAGAATTGTGAAATTCTCTTGATTTATCCAAGCAATTGTTTTTTTTAGCCCAGTTTCTTTGATCAAAATTTGTCAAATTTGTAAACATTTAAGTTTTAAATGTTACAAAAATTTGTAAGGCATTTAAAACTCGCACTGAAAGAGATGTACAGTACAATTTGGCATTTCTAAGGTGTTTGTGCTGTTACTCTTACTATGTATACAAGATTTGCTTTTAAAGAAACTGACTAAGTACCTAAGACTAAGTGTTGTGTGTATGATAGGTCAGCTCCAGATTATGAAAGAACAATTATTCTATGGGAAAAAAAGTTTAAATATTATTAAGATGAGCATCTTACATTTGAAATTTGGTACCAACTTGAATTCTTGCCTAATTTGTGATATCATTAATCGCCATAACCATGTTACTTGTCGCCTACTTTTTTCTAATGTGCCTTGGAAAATAGAACGTTGGAATTAATTTTTTTCTAAGCTTGATTTTGTAGTCCTCTGAACATCTGCCCAGAATTTGTATACACAGTGTAACATTAATTCAAAATTAAATGCACACTGTTAATGTTTAATTAATGTTATTCTTTGATATTGTGCCTACCAAAGCATTTTGTTTGGTACTAAAGAATCATGTTGCCTTTTATCCTTCGATTTTAGTCATTGATTCAATGAAGTTAAAGTATTTTTATTGATAAATGTCTGCAAACATTTGGTTGGGTTTGTGACTATCGGAAGTCTTGGGGCATTCACCTTTCCATTGAACCTCTTCAAAGATGACACTTCACTTGTTTTCCTCTTGCCTTAATAGCTATTGAGGCATAATGTTGCAAATTTTTAAATTATAAATTGTGAAAATAATGTTGTTTGTTCCCATTTCTAAGTTCATTCCAATGTAATTAAATGAGTTTCTTGAAGGCAGAAGAGTATATGGGAAGAAGCCCAATTGTGCATTTCAGGGTGGCTTGAATCAACCTTATGCTTGTATAGTATTGGTATGCATGCAAAGTATAGCAGCTATTTTCTGTATTGTATATACCAGTATATATTTTTTTTTGGCTTATTTCCAGTCTTAAAAAAAACTGCCCCTGTACTCATTGCAACTCCTGGTACTCATCACACTGCCTACAGTATTATCTACCCTGTATTCACCATTAGCAATTCCTTTATATCAGGAGGTATACTGGTTGGGACATCTTGGTCACTCATGTGATTAAGAAATATCCAAAATTTTTATATACTTTTAAATGGCAATACAGTACACACAGCAGGTGTTAGTTGAAACAAAAGCTGAAAGGGGACATTTAAAATATTCACGTCCCATTAATATTTTTTTATTTACATTGAGTGTAATTTGTTCCATTATATAACAAGTCCTGTTGCTGAAATAGAGGGAATACAGAGAACTTGTACGACATACATAGACGCGATAAAGCACCTAAATTAGGATCGTCTCAAAAGCTCTCCAAATGTATTCGCTAGAAAGGAAACTAGGGTGAGATAAAATAATATACACGTTGAAAATACTGGAGAGCCAGGTCCCAAATCGCAGTAAAATAACATGCTGTACTGGAGTGAATGATATGGAAGAAAATGCAGAACAGAATCAATGAAGAGCAAGGGTGCCATAAGCACAGAACACTTGATAAACATCAGAAGTCCACAGTTGCTCAACATCCTCCCAGTCAGCGAGTATAAGAAATATGAAACAACCGTGGACAACTTCAAGAGAAAACTAGATAGTTTTCAAGAAGTGCCGGACCAACCGGGCTATGGTGGATATGTGGGCCTACAAGCCCCTACAAGCCGCTCCAAGCAACAGCCTGTTTGACCAAGCTCTTAAGTCAAGCCTGGCCTTGGGTCGGGCTTGGGGAGTAGAACAACCAGAACCCCATCAAGCCGGTAATTGATCTATCAACAGCATTAAAAAAAAGTAGGTTGTGTATATGAAAAGCTCTCCTTTCTGAACAGAACACTTCATTGTTTCCTTAAACAAGGGAACAACAGAGCTGGTCCCATGAAAGGAACTAGGCAGTTTAGGGCAGGTGTGGTGGTCTTACAGTTTATCTACCAACATCATCTAAGGTACTAGTCTGTCACTCATCATCTAACATCAAGTTCTCTCTTCTTGTCGTCATGTTTAACTAAAATTCATATAAGCTTGTTTAGAAGAGGTCCCATTTTGTTTTGTCACTATCATATTCTGTGTTGAATCACAGCCTTGTACAGTTACCATCAAACTTTGTGGCATTCACAGTCATTTCAGAATTTGTAAACCATGGTGCTTTGTGCAAAGGCCTGTTGAGACTAGCATCTTCACGGCTAAAATTCGTGCTATTTTGAATGCTCTTCATCAACTGCTTTGACAGCAACGTTTCTTTGTTATTGTGGTTGACTCATGGCTCTGGAGTCAATTAACCCCTATGCATCCTGTGGTGGTCAAAATCCAATATTTACCATTTCTTGTCTTCATCAGATAAGATAGTTGAGTTTTATGGGGTTTCCAGTCATATTGGTATTACCTTAAATAACTGCAGATGCTGCCACTTGGGAGGTTATCTGCACTTGTCCTAGTTCCCAAAAAGGCATTCCTTATTCAGATTTCTACCCAGTGATTCATTATGCAATCAGCAAACACTGACAGGATCATTGGTCAGGTGGTACTCGTAACAAACTTCATACTTAAAGGTAGCCTGTTCTCTTGGCTTTCCTCCTGCCATCATAATAGGCAGTTGGGAATTGGCTCTGGCCTGATTATGTATTGGCCATACATGCTTAACTCATGGCCACTTTTAATGGAATGTTGCCCAGCTCCTTATTGTCTGAACTGCATTGTCCCACTTAATTGTGCACCTCCTAGCATGTTCAGATTTTCAAGGCAATTGCATAATGCTTTCCTTATGTCCCTCGAGATTTATCCATCGATAGAATCCTTGGTGAATCTAATACCTTTGATATCACTTGTCTTCCTTAGTATTTGTATTGGCATCCTAAGTGATATTTAATGCCTTTTGATTATCCAGCAACACTGATGGTTCTACATAGTCTCTTTGGTGTGGTGCCTTCTTGTGCTAAGTAATTATCAAAAGAAGATGCCAAGCTGTACTTGTCCTAAGACCCATCTCCCAGTTGCTGCTACAAATAGTAAAAACTTAGTCATAGGCTTATTTGCAGGGGGTCTTGAGCTGCACTAGTTTGCTACCCTGAAGGTGTTCTTTTCTGCCATTTTAATATCAGAGCTCAAGTTTTGGAAGTCAAACCATAAGTTTGTGTCCTGATACAGATCTTAGATTTCCAACATGTGCTTCCAGTGTGTTGCTACTGGGAAAGCTCCCTTTCACATAATCATATTCTTTTTTGGGAAGGGCTCGGGAGTATTGAGATGGGGCTTCTTAGGATGCTTCCTGCAGCACAGGTCGAGCCCCAGTTGTGATCATAGTAGTTTTTAATTTTCTGAACAAACTCTTGCTTATATATTACCATAAAGTAATATAGCTCAGAAATCATGAGTTTGAATATGTATGAAAGCTCCTTGAGTGATACATTTAATTGCTCATGTTCCCACTCTTCTCTTCCTGCTTCACATGTACTTTATGGAATGTTCATGTGAGGTGGCTGGTCATGGAACCCTATTTGTGTAGGGTTCATTTGTAGATGGATGTTTGTAAAGACCCGTGTTGCACCAGTTTGGATTGCCAACCTGTCCTAACTACAGTACTTAGTTCCTGTTTCTGGGACCAGCAAGACCTTACAAGACCTTACCTAAGGGAGCAACGAAGTGGGATAGTTCAAAAAAGTACATTTGTAGAACTTCAGGTAATTGCTACACATTTATCGTTGATAAGCGTCAGTTTAAGAGATTAATAAATTTTTTGTGCATTAACTTCGTCTTACAATAATGTACTTTAACCGGGTTACTTTTTCCAGTTTTGTTTCACTTTGCATTTTCCTTTGTGTATAATGACAGGCATATTAAAATAATATTACTGTACAAGACTGAAATAATACAGTACACAGTAGTACTGTACAGCATCCAAATTTTTAAGATTGATAAATTAATAACAAATTAGATAAAATTAAATTTCTATCGATAGTATAACATCTATACAGTACAGGCACAATCACGATTGTTTCTCTGACTGTTGTACAGAAAAGATTTCATTGGTCTGCTGAGTAACACGGATGAAAGTGGTACGTTTAGGAAGTTCCTTCAGCTTACCAGCACCAGTGTATGTACATGCTGACCGTAAGCCTCCAAGGATATCCAAAATGGTAACGTTTACATCTCCCTTATATGGGATCTCTACAGATTTTCCTTCACTTGCCCTGTGGAAGAGAAAACCAAAAATTTAACTTATAGTAATCATTATTATTTTGTATTATTTATTTCAACTAAATGATGTAATAAATTGTATACATGTATGGGGGTACTGTAATCATAAAAATAAAAGTTGTTAAAAATACATTCACTGTACAGAGGAAACCCACATGAATGAAACCAGTATATGATAGACTCCAGTTGAACTCAATTATTTTACATTAAAGTTTTAATGATGTGAAACTGAACTGTAAGTGAATAGTGAAACTGAGTAGTAAACTTGTCAATATGAGAGGCAGGAGTGACTGTTGTCAAGTACAGTATACACTAGGCTGAATGATTTATGAGTTAACTGGATGGATCCAATAATTAGTTGTGCTGCCACCTAGCGATGGGCAGCTACTACTGAAGGATGAACCACCTATCGGGTGGATTGTTTTTGGGTCTCATTTTTGTGTTGGGTTTATCTTGCTCATGTCAATTTTTGTTTCGCTTTCATCTTTCTGGTTGTAGTTTTTTATTTGAATGATCTTGCTCCCTACCTCTAGGGAAGTACTCTATCAAGAAATCTAGCAAATCAAGAAACTACGACCAGAAAGTGTGAAACAAACAAGAGCAATACTCCCTACCCTTTATATCTGTGAAACCTGTGTCCTTCCCTATGGTTAGTGGCACCACCTGCTTTGCACTTCAACCACACCCACTACTTTCTATAGATGATTTACGAGTGGTTATTTAATGCAGGGAACAAAGCAAAAGCTTCTGATAATCACAAATACAAGAATTCCTTATTTATCCTGTTGTTATAAAATATGTGAAATGTCATACAAAGAACAGTTGTGCTTACTAGTTTTATTACAGTACTGAAACAAACCGTATTTTCTTACCTGTACTCAGCAACACCACCAGAATACTTCTGCATTGCTGTTGCACTGGACATGCCATAAAACTGCTTCATCTTCTTTCCATTACGTTCTATCATCTCTCCTCCAGACTGGTCATGGCCAGCCAACATCCCACCCATCATAACAAAATCTGCCCCTGCTCCAAAAGCCTTGGCTATATCTCCAGGACAAGTGCAACCACCATCCTGTAAATTGGAAAATGTGCAGTATTTTGTTAAATACAGTACATGTTTAAGACAAATATTAAAATTAATATATAGATCAATACTGGTGTCTTGCAGAAATAGAATATAAATAATTCAGAAACACTATAGGCCCTAATATGCCCTATACTCCCCAGTACTGCACTTTCTAAGAGAAAGATTATATATAATTGGAGTCTCAAACAATTCCTTGGCACACTACCACACTGGTTAACATTGTCATTGATTTTAAAGACAATATGCTTCAAATTAAGAGCCTCAGCTACTAGACTGCACTTTTGTTTTCAATTGATTTAATTTACTATGCATTCTGAGATTTTTAAGCCACTGTTGAGCCTGGCCACTAACTGGTTGGGTGATTACATCTCCAGCTATCTGTGAAACCTACATAATACAGTATTTAAATAACAGATCTTATATCCTATGTAAAGACAGTCCTCAACTTTTGAATGGGATGAATTCCAAAAAAAACATTCATAAGTTAGCCATTAATAAGTCGGAACCAGATTTTCCATAGGCACAAGGCTGTAAATAGGGAACGAGTTCCTGAATCACCAAAAATCAACATATATTACCTGTCTCCAAAATTTTGGTTTTATAAGAAAAATTGCTTTTTATTTAACTTGAATGACAATTGTTCTCTTTGATTTTATGTGTTTAGAAGAGGTATACTGTAATTAAAGAAGGAAGCAGTAAAAGAAAAGGGTCTTGTAAGGCACTGGGGAAGTACCAACACACCATCTTATCACCCATTACTGAGGCACTGTTCCTTGATAGATAATTGAAATAGTGCATTATATGAACTGTCTTTGTCATGTGTGCATCCCAGAATTCTTTGTATAATAGAATGCATTGTGTGCAGTACAATGCAGCCTTATACTGAGGCTGAGAATCCTAACATCATTGGCATTAGTGAAACATGGGGATGAGAAGACAATTGAAGAGGAATTACATCTTCCAGGGTACCATCTACCTTTCATAAAGGACAGAATAACAAGAGCAGGTGGTGTGAAGCTGTATGTAAAAAGAGGACCTGAATTCAACCAGCAGAGGAATTGAACATCATGGGCTCTAGAATCTGAATGGTGCAGGCTCAAAATGGTAGCAAACTAACTGAGAATATGGTACAGTAGAGAAGGTTACTGATCTGCCAAATGTGATAAATGTGCAGCTGAAACCCAATCCCTTAAAACCATAAGTAACCCCGAGACAATAGATTGGGTGAATTTAATGTTACAAGCAGAACAAATTCCATGACCTGGTACAGGATTTTTTTTTTTACAGCATGTAATAGAGCCCTCCTGAGGTAATAGTATTCTAGATCTTGTGCTAACATCAGAAGAGGCCATGACTGATTAAAACCAGGTAGGGAAAAAAGCTTGCCTCTTCATGTCATCGCAGAAAATGATCTATAATTATAAAATCCCATATAGGGGTTTTCTAGATTACCCTCAAGAAGACATCAAGGAATGAAAGTGGAATTGCAAAACATTCCCTGGATGGAGCTAATAGATCAAGAATGGAAGAATTGTGAGAAAATTTGAAATAAATGTCATCACTGAACTTGTTCAAAAATAGGTATGGTGCCAAGAAGGAGAAAGAAAAAAAACTAGGTGGATGACAGGCAGTAAAAAAAAAAGAGAAAAAAAAGCTTAACCTCTGGACAAAGGTGTCAATCTAAAAAGAATAACAAAGATTACCAGATATACAGAAGCAATAAATCCAGTTTATCAGAAAATCAGATCAACCAAAAGAATGTATAAATGAAAACCTTTCTTTTTATGCTTATATAAGAAGTAAGACTAAAAGATTCAAAAGCCCCAGGTGTGGATGGAATTCAATTTATAGTAATAAAGGAACTGTGTTTACCACTGAAATTCCTTTAAAGAAAATCTCTGGACCAAGGGATAGATCACTTAGACTGGAAATATGCAAATGTCACCCCTAATTTAAAAACAGACAGAAAGAGCTCGACTGAACACCATTGTCCAATCATCCTAACCTTGTATATCTGCATGCTCATGGAGAGAATCCTAAGGGTAATTATTGGGTAATCCTTACACCAGTACCTATGGGTAATCCTAAAGGGTTTCATTCACAAAATCAGCAGGGATTTGTTAAAAATAAATCATGCCATACAAACCTGCTCACATTTTTGTTAATAGTAACCAGCTATGCAGACAAAAGGACTAGCAGTAGATGTAGTATACATAGACTTCTCTAAAGCTTTTGATAAGGTATCACATGGACTGGCAAGGAAATTACATTTATCCATAGTACTACGCTACCAATGTAGAGTACTAGAATGGATAAAACAATGGTTAAAACATAAAAAGCAAAGGGTCATCCTAAATGGAAATGAACCTGACTGGAGAAATGTGATAAGTTTGGCAGTGCAAGATCCTATCTTGTGGCCAATCCTTTTAGTCACTTACATCAATGACACAGATGAGAATATTACAAACGACATCATCAAATTTGCAGATGACTCCAAGATCAATGGTAAAGTAAGAAGTGAAAATTATACTTAGGTCTTACAAAGTGATCTACACAAACTCCACAAATGGTGGCAATACTGGCAAATGCTTTTTAATATTGAAAATGTAAGACCTTGCATGTGGGGGCTCAACAATTAACATCACAACTATCAAATTAACATCATCATCTTGCAACAGATTGATAAGGAAAAGGACCTTTGAGTCAGAACCCACCGGTCATTGAAAGTGGCACTTGTGGGAACTGCAGTTAAAATCTAACTAAACCATAGGAATAGTTAAACAATCCTTTAACCTCAAGGAAAAGAGTGTGGTTATTCAACTGCACAATTCTCTGGTGCGCCCTCATCTGGACTACTGTATCAAAGCATGGAGGCCTCATCTCCAGGTCATACCTGCTTTGGAGAAAGTTCAACAGCAGGTGACAAAGATCAACCCAGAACTAAATTGACTTTCATACCAGGAGAGGATAGCCACAGGACTATCAAGACTGCAAACCAGACATGATAGGGCTGATCACATTAAAACTTTTAAAATAATTACAAATTTGGGAGATGTCGATCAAGATAAGTTCTTTAAAAGGTCAAATGTAACACATAAAAGGAACAATGGCTTCAAGCTCAACAAGCCACAATGCAGAACAGAAAACAGGAGATACCTTTTCACCCATAAGGTTGTAAACTCATGGAACCTTCTATCTGCAAAAGCAGTAAGTGCCAAGACCATACAGTACTGTAATTTAAAATCCAACAAAACAAAATCAGGAAAAATGGGGGAAGGGTGGACTTTGCCAAGCCATTGGCTTCCTGTTCCAGTTGAGGCCACTACAGAAATTGTGGCCCTCAGGAAAATTCAAAATGGGATTTTGAGTCCACTCGTAAGATCGGATGTTTTTAAGTTGGGGAGATCAAAAGAATTCTTGCAGGATTGCTACTTTTGCAACATCCTAGCTGAGTGGTGACATACATGGCAGAACAAGCATACATGAAACAATATTGGTGAATGGTTGCATGTGCATTTTTACTATGAATGAAGGGACGTAACATAAAAAAGGCAGAGAAGAAATTTAGGTGGAAAATGGATGAAACTAGTACTGCATATACATATCAGAAACTAGATAGGTATTAAATGTATATACTGTACACATACAGATATGATATGTCCAGCAAGGCCATGGGCTGCATCAGCACACTCAATCACTGCTGATAACTGAGGGTATCCAACTCCAGCCTTCTTTCTTGTGGTGCAGACTGATCCTGGACCAATGCCCACCTTAATTACATCAGCCCCTGAGATAAGCAACTCTTCAACCATCTCTCCTGTTACCACATTACCTGCCTGAAGGAGAGAAAAATTATGGTACAGTATTACAAGAATAAGATGGCAGATCAATAATTACTTTTTTTGAATGAAAAGTCTTAGATACAAATCTGTTCAAGTACACTATACAGTATTTGAATTTAACCATGCCTGTGAATTTTAAATACTGTACAGTACAGGACCAAATTTGCTCTTATGCACACATTGTACTCATCAGAACTTTATTAAATCCATGTGGCTAGCTTCTAACCAATCCAATTCAGTGTGCTTTATATTTAGCTATTTTCCAACTCTATTTCATGGTCAAACTAAGATGGGAAAAAATGTACTTACAAGTATAGTGTGATCTGGGTAGTTCTTGCGGACTTTTCTGACGTACTCCACAAACACTTCTGAGTAGCCGTTGGCAACGTCCAGACAGATGCACTTTATCTAAAATATAAAAAGTAAAGATTGCATTGAATAATAGTTACAAAAAAAACATTATCTGCTTTATTACCATATTAGTTAAAGCTAATATGGTAATATTAATTTAACTTCACAACATTTCTTTTACCTAAACTGCCTCAGGGACACTAGTGGCCTCGATGAGGACATGAAGCCAGCGGCTTGTCGAAGGTCCCCCATTTACCTTGAAAATATTTTTTACAACTTGTCTATGCTTAATAATTAATATGTCTGCTAAACAAAATATTTGTTATCCCTTATAAAACTATAATAAACTTCATTCATAGCTTCTCACCTCGGAGAACAGTCCGAGGATCTCTTGAAGACGCTCCCAGTCAGAATTGGAGATGCCCGAGGACGCTGCCACATATTCCAACACAGACTTATTGTTCTCACCAAACTCCTTCCACTCGGCAACACTGTAGTGCTTGTGGATCGTTGTGAAACACTTGTGCTGAAAGGTAAGGTAATTATCAGGAAAGAGCACTGGTGTTGTTGTTTAAGATTCAGCTACTCGGAACAAAACGTTTCAAGTAGCACGGGCTATGGTGAGCCCGTATTGGACTTACCTGGCACAGGAGCGGGGCTGTGGAAAAGAGCACTAAGTCATTACGATTATATAGCACATGGAAGGAACGAGGGTAAGGATCTGGGATGGGACGAAGGAATGGTGCCCAACCACTTAGACGGTTGGGGATTGAACATCGACCTGCAAGACGCGAGACCGTCGCTCTACCGTCCACTCCAAGTGGCTCTGGTGTTAGAAGCATATGTTAAGATTTCTTCACACACTTTACAAGATTCTAAACCATCATCAAAATCAAATCAAATCAAACGTTTATTCAGGTAAAAGTACACACATAGAGGATTAGTTACAAACATAATGTTGGATTTAAAGATAGAGCTAGTACATACAATACCTAAAGCCACTAGTACGCGCAGCGTTTCGGGTAAGATGTGGGAGTTGAATTTTAGAATCTAATTTTAAAATTTATTTCTAATAATATTTTATGAGCTGATACATATGTTTAGTTTAATAAGCAAGACATTCAACGGTTATTATTTGAATCAAAATTAATTTAGCTAACTGGCCTAATATAAATATACGCCATTTCTTAATTCTGCCTACCAAATTAAATAAATTCGTAACTCAAATAAATATTCCCTTGGCTGTAATACAAAATAATGCTAGTAATACTAATAATATTTTATTTACATTTGCTCCATAATACAATGGAGAATTTGCTGGTACGAAAGGTATATTATAATATAAGGCCACCACTATAAAGCCATAAGTGATAATTGCGATAAGCGTTTCGGACATAACGTAACCATAATTAGGAGAGTTATTTAAAGTTAATGGGATAACTCAATTTAGGATAAAAAACAGAAGATACTTTTTCACCCATAGTGTTATAAACCCTCGGAACAGCCTACCCGCCTAAGCCGTATATGCCAAGACATCACTCAGTGGTCAAAATCCAGCTGAAAAAATCCTCAGGAGGAATTAAGGGGGGGAGAAGGAACCTTTGACAAGTAGCCGACCTCCTGTCCCCGTCGAGCCCCTTAGAGATATGGCCTTGAGATAAATTCTGGTAAAAATGAAAATCTAGTAAGTAAGGAGTCCTTCAGCATACTATTCACGGTGTGTCTGTTTGGCCAGTCCTAGAATATGCAACTCAAGCATGCTGCCCACACACATGGTGAAGCATAGGAAGAAAATTAAGGTCTTAATCTATATGCTTCGAGACAAATACAAAAGATTAGCGAGATGAGCTGAGAACACGTTTTAAGAGAGCCCAGTCTAATTATATTAGAAGACAGAAGGACAAGACTTTAAGGGGAAATAGGCAAACTAAACAGGGATCGTTTTTTTTTTTTCCATGTGAGGGCCAATGAGGGGGCCACAGGTGGAAGTTGGAAACACATTCGAGCCTGAGAAATAAAATGAATTACTATTAACCCAGCGAGTGGTAAGCTGCAGGACTGTTCTTGCAGTCCTCGAGTGAATCGTAACTCACTCCAGTTACGAGTGAGTTACTCGTAACTCACGAGTGAATATTGGTGAACGCAATCACCACTCACAGCTTCAAGAGCGCGTTTGACACCAGGGGACACAGGTGGAAACTGAGTGCCCAAATGAGCCACAGAGATATTAGAAAGAACTTTTTTAGTGTCAGAGTGGTTGACAAATGGAATGCATTAGGAAGTGATGTGGTGGAGGCTGACTCCATACACAGTTTCAAGTGTAGATATGATAGAGCCCAGTAGGCTCAGGAATCTGTACACTTGTTGATTGACGGTTGAGAGGCGGGACCAAAGAGCCAGAGCTCAACCCCCGCAAGCACAACTAGGTAAGCACATACATACAAAGCTCATAACCTGGGCCTGGAGTTATGTCTCGGCTAGACTCCGGGACATAACTACGCAGTTATGGTTACATAACTGAATTAAAGCCGGCACTGTCTCCTTCAGTAAGGGATTCAGATTTGGCGTGGGGTACTTTTCAAAAAACATGCACACTGCACTTAATATGTCATTTAACAGGTGCACACCATTATTGCCCGAGATGTGACATTCTGTATTTATAAATTCTAGAGAACGTCATCATACCTTAGCTAGGGTTTTTGCCATCTCAAAAGTTCCTACAGTGTCCATATTGGCTGCAATGATTGGTACACCTTTCCATGTCTGCTTTGAATTTTTGAAGGTGATTGTCCTTTCTAGGTCAACCTGCAAAGAAAGAAATTTGTTAAGAAAATAATCTTAGAATTTAGGAGAAAATCTGAAATTTTATAAATTTAAAATCAGTATCAAAAATTTTATTCTTGTAAAGTGTTATGAATATAGGTGGATAAATGCAAATTTAACATGCTCTAATATAATTTCATTTTCATCGAACTGTGAACTTAAACTGTTCATGTGTTAAACTACCAACGAGGAATGCCTCTGTATACATCTTGTGAGCGATGCTGATAAAAGGTTCCCGAGGCTAATAATAGGCTCAGAAAAAAAAGAGACCGTCCTCATATCAAATCAATTACCATGAGAAATCACCAACCTGTCCTAAGGGAGGAAATCCGCTCATTGGAATGGACTGAGACCGACTACATAATTAGTGCTATTATCTCCTCTCAGTCCATGGCTAGGTTAGGCTAAGGTTACATTAGGTTAGGCTTTGGTTAGGGTAGGTGTTATTACATTTTGATATGTTAATATGGTGAATTATCGACGATAATGTGAAATATGGAAACTCGAAAACTAGTTCAGTGTACCCGAGAATTCCGTTTACAGAAAACCAAATTCTTCAAAGAAAACGTTTTCAGCCTATACTTTTTACACTTTAAACCAACAATTTATAATACAATAAACTTTTTACATGAGAATAGTCTCTGTTTAGGACAAAGGTTCATTTGCCAGTTTACATGTAGACTATTACTGGAACCGTAGTATGTCATCGCAAATATCTAGATAACTATCCAGGTGGTCTGAGGTGGGGGTGTGGTTTCCAGCCCATCCCGAGATCAAGTACATTACTAGGAGAATGCTAAAAACTAAATATGCCTAGATTATATGTACTATACTATATGCCTAGTATAGTACATATATGTGCTATTATAGCACATATATGTACTATACTAGGCCTCAGATAGCATGTAATAGGCCTAAGGTGGTTAAGTTAGGATTTATAGCAACATAAATACAAAACCCTTTCAGGTTCGTCCAAATTCAATAGTACCAAATTCTACTTTCTAATTGTCCAGTACGTAAATATATGTACGATGGTCCAGATCGTTCCTATAAGTACTATGAACAACTGTACTTGCACCTCCAGTGTAAGTACTGTCTAAACAGGAGGATGGGCTGCTTTAGGGACAGATTCGACAAAGTGTTCCAACGTCAGAACAGTTAAATTATAACGCAAAATAGTAAATCAAAGCTAGTAGGCGGGGGCATGAAGGGCTGGCTAGTGGACCTCACCTCCTCGTAGCCACTGACAGGAGAAGCACTAATAGGTAGGCACACATCAAATGGATATCATCAGCGGCATATGCCAGGTTGGCCAACATAAGAACCGCCTTTAGAAACTTGTGTAAGGAATCATTCAGAATATTGTATACCACATACGCAGACCAACCCAGTAGTATGCGTCTCCAGAGTGGCGTCTATATCTAGTCAAACACAAGATAAAGTTAGAGAAAGTTCAGAGGTATGCCACCAGACTAGTCCCGGAGTTGAGAGATAGATATAAATTGCGAGGAAAGGCTAATGGCATAATTCATTGAATAGCAAATTCATTGCTATTCCATGAAATGTTTTATGACCCCATATTGCAGTCTCAGGGATTAAGTCTGGCAACAGCAATGCAGCTGCGTGGCTAGCGGCCCGAGTCAGCAGTTGGTCAGCGACCTTGGGAACCTGGCTCTGGCCGCGCGTCAACCAATACAAACCCGCCAAACACACACCGAAACTACGACGTTAGTACAACGTTCGAACAAGTTTTAACACTTCCTAACCGGTTATAACAACCAATATAGCACGTTGTAACAACGTTCTAATACGTCATAAACACGTTAAGCCAAGATGTAACAACTTTATTACAAGTTGTAACAAGCGGAAAATAGAGACAGTTTCGGTTTGTGTTTCCAGGGAAGGCACTGTGCAATGTTGCCTTTACAAGGACAAATATATTATTATCGTAATATAACATGGTAATCAAATATAGTTTACGATTCTTCTTTGACTTCGGTTACTCATGCAGCTATCTTTAAACGAGATGTAGATGGAGCCCTGGCTGTCTGGGTTCGAATCCTTCAGGGGTGAGGAGTTTTCGGTTGCATATTGGCTTGGGGACCATTCAAGCTTGTTCGTATTTGTGTTACTCACGTGGCCCCAACATGCGAGGTGATTGCATGAAATATGTCTCGAAAATTAACCACCAAGTGCTGTCGGAGATTGGGTTAAGGGTCTGACGACTTCCAGTTCTTTTGAACAGTCAGTGTGGTCTAGCGGGTTAAGTACTGGATACGCTAAGGTGCAACGAACCCTGGCTGTCTGGGTTTGAATCCTTCAGGGGAGATGGAGTTTTCGGTTTTATATTATATATTATATATATATATATATATATATATATATATATATATATATATATATATATATATATATATATATATATATATATATATTGGTAGCAGTCTTTCTTGTAAACATATGTTGTTGAATATGACCGAAAGGGTAAGAATCTTCTCAATATTTCTTACGTTTTTCTTCACTGTCGAGGGTAATTGAAATATTAATTCTCCAAAGTTCATTTCCTCATTTTTAGTTATGGTCTGACGCCTAAAAGCGTTTTGCAAGGACTTCTTACATTTTCAAAGATAGATTTACACATCATTTCATGCTTATATTCGTTTTGGGTGAGGTGATATGACAAATGTTTTTGGGTGAGGTGACATTACACGAATCAATGGGTATATATATTGGATATGAGAACATAAGAATGAAAGTAACTACAGAAGGCCTATTGACCCATATTTTCTTTTGCTGCTTCTATGTTGGTTCGGAGTCTTGAAGTGGGTAGAATATAGTTATGCTTTAATTGGCTGTTGATTGCTGGTGCTGACTTTTTGATGTGTAGGGCCTCGCTGATGTCGAGTCTCCTGCTTTCGTTGTATCTAACGATGATTTCTGTGTTGCTTGTTAAGATTTCTCTGGTGATGGTCGGGTTGTGTGAGGAGATTTTATGTTCCTTGATGGAGCCCTCTTGTTTGTGCATTGTTAATCGCCTAGAAAGAGACGTTGTTGTCTTACCTATATATTGAGATCTTTGGGGCCTTCAGTCCCCAAGTGGGCATGTGAAGGCATAGACGACGTTGATTTCCTTCAAAGCATTCTGTTTGGTGTCTGGAAAGTTTTTCATGAGTAGGTTGGCCGTTTTCTTGTTTTTGTAACAAACTGTCAATTGTATTTTCTGATTTTTGTCTGTAGGGATAACGTTCCTATTAATAATATCTTTCAGGACACTTTCCTCCATTTTATGAGCCGTCGAAAAGAAGTTGCTGTAAAACAGTCTAATAGAGGGTACAAGTCTATACTTGTACTATACTTGTTGTATAGTGGGTACAACAGTCTGATAGGGGATATATATATATATATATATATATATATATATATATATATATATATATATATATATATATATATATATATATACATATATATATATATATGTCGTACCTAGTAGCCAGAACTCACTTCTCAGCCTACTATGCAAGGCCCGATTTGCCTAATAAGCCAAGTTTTCATGAATTAATGTTTTTTCGTCTACCTAACCTACCTAACCTAACCTAACCTAGCTTTTTTGGCTACCTAACCTAACCTTACCTATAAAGATAGGTTAGGTTAGGTTAGGTAGGGTTGGTTAGGTTCGGTCATATATCTACGTTAATTTTAACTCCAATAAAAAAAATTGACCTCATACATAGTGAAAAGGGCAGCTTTATCATTTCATAAGAAAAAAATTATAGAAAATATATTAATTCAGGAAAACTTGGCTTATTAGGCAAATCGGGCCTTGCATAGTAGGCTGAGAAGTGAGTTCTGGCTACTAGGTACGACATATATATATATATATATATATATATATATATATATATATATATATATATATATATATATATATATATATATATATAATACAAGAACTCCCAAGATATATTGAGACAAAAAGAAGACTAAGCCATCATGTCAGCATCCGGACAATGCGTTGCGTGTTTGGATTACTCACGTAACCGAACACAGCCAATCGACTAAGTGAATACGAGCAAATATAATTTACACTGTTTGCATTATGGATTTTAGGCAAATGGGTCAATATATCATTTTACTCCTTGTTTGTCTGTATTAAAGGCTATAGGAAATAATGATGCTGTGATTCGTGCAGCTCAACCAATGAAGTGAAAAGTTCAAATATGCTCGACTTGAGCCTATGGTTATTATCTCTAATGGTCGTGGTGATAATAGGAAGCGTGTGCCAGAGTGATAAATGTAAACGAGGAAGCGAAGGAGGAATCACCGATCTTGACTGAGCTGGATGGATAGATGGTGAGGGGGATAGATGGTGAGGGGGATTGATGGTGAGGGAGCGTAGCAGCAGCGAGGCCTGGACCTCGTCACCATCCCGTGGCACGGCGAGGCAGTATCCGGTCTAATCACACACTGGGCCACTACACGCCACCTGCTTCCTCCCAGACTTAAGCACACCCCTCTTGTGCAAGTACGATATAGTACATATACAACCCCCGTTCCTGTACCAGTAAGTTCACTACGGGCTCACCATAGCCCGTGCTACTTGGAACTTTTTGTTCAGAGTAGCTGAATCTCTAACAACAACATGCGCATGTACGCCAGTCACTCTTAGTCACCAGTAAAAACTTTAACTGTAATCTGAACTCTACACAGTGCCCAGTTAGATGATCCAGACAGCCCAGGAAGTGACTATATCGCACTCTTTTTAACTCTTAAGTCAACAGGACTCTAGAAATCCATACATGCATAAATGCCATAACAAATTTTACAAATATTTCAACATTTTCTTGGCGAATGTGGACAAAATACAAAAATGTATATTTTCCTAAATGTTAATCCATAACATGTTTTCAGCTTTCCTGCTTGTCGGGAAAGGAAATCCATGTCTTCTTTTTCCTAGTTCCACTCAACCAAGGGTCCGTCTCCACGTGGTTATGTGACGCATACACCTAGTAGATAAAACCAGAGATGTAGACTATTTAGTTTCTCTTTACAGAGCTGTATTGTATCTATCTAGGTTCTGATAAGTAAATATTTACTGCTGTATTGATTGCTAAGCGCAGTGCTTGCGTGTGCTTGCGGTGCTTACAAACACGCCACCAGTACTCGCCGGAGGGAGGGTGAGGTCTGCCTCACACCGCTTCAGCGCCTCTCAGGGTTACTGCAGGAGTGTGGGGGTACTGGCCGCCAGCCACGTGATGCCCTCCATAAAAGTACCCTTAAGTCAAGATATACTTTCCTTCGCCAGTTGGAAAACCAACACTAAGCCTCATACTAAATGTCCAGTAAAGATAAAAATGCTAACATTATTTCAATGTATTTCAGTACAAGTGAAGGAAGAGGGAGAGAGGAGAGGGAGAGGTGGAGTGGGGGTGGGGGGTGTTGGTGGATCGGGGGTGGGATAGAGGATAGAGAGTATCGAACGCAGCCAACTCCAAGGCCGCATCAACCATTAAAGTTCAGTGGTATTGTCCTTGATACGCCTTTTGCTGGAAGGGAATAATTAGGACATGGTGATATTATTCTCTCATGCACAAGTCTAGTTACTCAATAATTGGTTAATCCAAGCATGATATACATGTAATTTGAAGGCTGAACTGATGCGGGAAAACCAGTGAAAACAATTAAAATTATACATTTTTTTAATGCATGATTATATAGGCCTTTATCTAAATATTTAGACATTGGAACCTATACAGCAATAACTTAAACAGATCAGCATATGCTAAAGCGCTATCCAAATGCTGATAAATGATAAACATATCAATAAACGTTGATAAATTAATTGCCTTAAAACATATTTAGATTAGGCCACAAATACCTTCATTGCAGTTAACCCTTCATTCATTGCAGTTAATACTTCATTCATTGCAGTTAATACTTCATTCATTGCAGTTAATACTTCATTCATTGCAGTTAATACTTCATTCATTGCAGTTAATACTTCATTCATTGCAGTTAATACTTCATTCATTGCAGTTAATACTTCATTCATTGCACTTAACCCTTCATTCATTGCAGTTAATACTTCATTCTGATACCATTCAGGGATAATGTGTATCAAGATTCTAATACACTATATCCCTGAATGTGAAATAACGGGATAGAAGCCATTTTAATGAAGGATAACGAATTAGAACAATGCTTAAACGAACATTACATAAAATTCCAGGCCTATAGTTCATACAAGATAAAACATAAATGTAGCATCAATATGAACAAATAAACATAAATCATATGTTAGGCTAACACTAATTGCATAACTACAATAAAATGAGTTAGTTCTAAACGTTAAAATTAGTGAGAACTAACATGCTGCTTAAGAAATTCGACCAGAAGTTAATAAAATAAGTATAACTTGATGGACATCATCTTCCTTGGGAACTGTAGGCTACTGGTGTAATCTGGTCTGACGGGCACGTCTGCCGGTATAAGCCAGCTCCTGGACATGTTGGGTAACTAGTGAAAGCGTCTCTCGGGTATGAGAGGAACGTAACATCATAATTTACTGTAATTAATTACACTACTTATTGACCAAACCACACACTAGAAAGTGAAGGGACGACGACGTTTCGGTCCGTCCTGGACCATTCTCAAGTCGATTGAATTCTCACAAACTATAATAACTAAATATAAGTTATAATAACCCAAATGAAACCATCGCCCCCTTTCTAATGCCAGCCACTACAATGAGCGTCTTAGGTACGATATCACGCGACAATGTTCGGATGCACTTGAAATGTCATGTTTACACAAGGCCTGTTGACAACTTCCTGTGTTATCAGTGACATGCTGATAACATGCATGCTAGGTTGAGGCAAATATAATACAAGAGAGAGGAGAAATGGCATCATTATGACGGGAGTTTTCCACCGAATCGAACAGCAACAGAAGGTAAACACCGATATAACGAAGCCTCGGCAATTACGTTAGCGCCGGGCCATTTCTTGGTAGAAAATGTTTTCCCACTGCATGAACCAATGTTTATAATGATGTTCTGGTTGTAATAAACGCATCAGTCTACCATGGAGGGGGTGTCTGGGGGAGGGGGGGTGAAATGCAGCAACACCTGCAGAGCTATTTTGGGACGCTGCCTTAGTGCCTCCAGCCCAAATATCACAGGTATTTGAATTATTTCCCACTAAAACCCCAACGTGTTAGCTTTACATGATAAGATATTATGTTTTTATTCCGTTATTATAGAGAATGCATAACACCTGTCAACAATTACGTGCAGAATATCGCACGAGTTAATGCTATACCGGCAGCAGACGACACAATACTCCCGTCAGCTGATCGAGCCATCGTCTGCTGCAACAGTTTGCAATGCGACACACACACACACAGCAATTACTCAGAAACTGTATAGTACTCACGTCCGAGCGGCTCTTGAGGGTAGACCTCTTGGGTCGCAGGAGAACATCTTTAAAGTCTAACTTGATATCATTGTCGATACGCGGCATTGTGAGAGAGTTTCAGTAAAGATGTGCGGGAGGACGGCTGGCTGTACCCGGCCTGGGAGGTGGTCGAGCAGCGAGTGATGCCAGACCCAGTCAGTCCTGCGCTCTTGCCAACTCCCGCCCCTCCTCGTCATAATATTTCTCTGTTACCATCACGACACAGTAAACAAACATTCTTATCCTTTTAATAAATGTAATTAGGACTAAACAGCCTCGTAAATTCATGTTTCTTGAGATCTTTCAGTGTTAAGATGTTTCTTGGAATGGTGCGTGTGGAAAGTACTGCGTGCAGCCCTCTGTCGTCAAGAATTATAACTAAAAAAGTAGAATAAGAAAATTTAAGTATTTTTGTATACGTAAATAAAATATTATGCTGGAGCTTAACTACGTTTCCTCTCTGTTGAAAGTTTAACAAGATGCAAGATCATTCTGGATTTAGAAAATACTTAATATTTCCACATTAGTACACATACGGCGATAAACTTTCCGATATTGCTAAAGATAGAAAAATAATATTACTATTGCTGATAATGGCCTCAGAGATTAAAAAATTATGTTTCCCATACAAACTAGATTAAAAGATTCTATCAATGTTAGTGTGCATAACAAATGTACACTAACGTGCGAGAGCAATGATGTCACATGGTTCACACTCCCCAAACACAAGTGTGTTGACACTCACACGAACGTTCGTCATTGTGGTGGTTGATGTTGCTGTGTTGTATAACACTGTTGTCCAGACTGTATTTTCCCATCTACGGTATTGAGCATCATGTGAACACACAGTCTGTATTTTATTGTACCGTATATCATCATCATCATGATAATGTTATTATTTTGATTTTCTTGTGCAAGATAATATGTACTTAAATAGTTTTGAGAACTTTATCAGTTAAAATTTGTTATTATATATATGTTATTTTTATCTTATTTTTATATGCCAGAGGATTTTTCAGGAAAGTTTATCAGAAAAAAGTAGTGATTCACTTTTTATACATTTTTCTTCTCAAAAGTAGTGAATGAGATAGTGGTTATCAACCGGGTTTCACGTTAAATACTGTATATAACAGAATTTCACGAATAATATATAAATAACATTAATCTATTGAGGGATCCTCAGTATATGGACAAACACTTAAGGGGTGCCGTCATGGTTGGGAATCAAAGTTTCACTGAGATATTGATGACTAAATTGCAAAAATTGCAGTTGCTAAAGTACAAATAAATGAACTATTGTAAAAAAATTATTAAAAACTTTTGTACTATTTATTTTATAGATGGCTAGAAACACCCCGCCATAAGGACAATACGAGTCCAATATTGTCCTATGGAGGAGTGTTTTGGGATAGTTGTTTGAACAGGTATTTTTAAATATTGTAAATTAAATATTGTTTAAATATTTTTAAATATGTATTTAAATATTCTCGGCGCTCCAGGTAAAGTGTGTTTGGTACAGTTCATTTATTATGCTGCCTATAACCATCCTGTGAGTTGTAGTGCAGTCCATAACCATCCTGTGAGTTGTAGTGTTGTCTATAACCATTCTGTGAGCTGTAGTGCTGCCTATAACCATCCTGTGAGTTGTAGTGCAGTCCATAACCATCCTGTGAGCTGTAGTGCTGCCTATAACCATCCTGTGAGTTGTAGTGCAGTCCATAACCATCCTGTGAGTTGTAGTGCAGTCCATAACCATCCTGTGAGTTGTAGTGCTGCCTATAACCATCCTGTGAGTTGTAGTGCAGTCCATAACCATCCTGTGAGTTGTAGTGCAGTCAATAACCATCCTGTGAGTTGTAGTGCAGTCCATAACCATCCTGTGAGCTGTAGTGCAGTCCATAACCATCCTGTGAGCTGTAGTGCAGTCCATAATCATCCTGTGAGCTGTAGTGCAGTCCATAACCATCCTGTGAGCTGTAGTGCTGCCTATAACCATCCTGTGAGCTGTAGTGCAGTCCATAACCATCCTGTGAGTTGTAGTGCAGTCCATAACCATCCTGTGAGCTGTAGTGCAGTCCATAACCATCCTGTGAGCTGTAGTGCTGCCTATAACCATCCTGTGAGTTGTAGTGCAGTCCATAACCATCCTGTGAGCTGTAGTGCAGTCCATAACCATCCTGTGAGCTGTAGTGCTGCCTATAACCATCCTGTGAGCTGTAGTGCTGCCTATAACCATCCTGTGAGCTGTAGTGCTGTCTATAACCATCCTGTGAGCTGTAGTGCTGCCTATAACCATCCTGTGAGTTGTAGTGCAGTCCATAACCATCCTGTGAGCTGTAGTGCTGCCTATAACCATCCTGTGAGCTGTAGTGCTGCCTATAACCATCCTGTGAGCTGTAGTGCTGTCTATAACCATCCTGTGAGCTGTAGTGCTGTCTATAACCATCCTGTGAGCTGTAGTGCTGCCTATAACCATCCTGTGAGGGCCTGGACCCGGGCCTGTCTGGGCCTGGACCCGGGCCTGTCTGGGCCTGGACCCGGGCCTGTCTGGGCCTGGACCCGGGCCTGTCTGGGCCTGGACCCGGGCCTGTCTGGGCCTATACCCGGGCCTGTCTGGGCCTATACCCGGGCCTGTCTGGGCCTGGACCCGGGCCTGTCTGGGCCTGGACCCGGGCCTGTCTGGGCCTGGACCCGGGCCTGTCTGGGCCTGGACCCGGGCCTGTCTGGGCCTGGACCCGGGCCTGTCTGGGCCTGGACCCGGGCCTGTCTGGGCCTGGACCCGGGCCTGTCTGGGCCTGGACCCGGGCCTGTCTGGGCCTGGACCCAGGGCCTGTCTGGGCCTGGACCCGGGCCTGTCTGGGCCTGGACCCGGGCCTGTCTGGGCCTGGATACCCGGGCCTGTCTGGGCCTGGACCCGGGCCTGTCTGGGCCTGGAGACCGGGCCTGGGGCCTGTCTGGGCCTGGATCCAGGGCCTGGCCAGATACCCTTCATACTTGAGCTATATTTTGGATCCAAATCCTGGCTCTCTGCACCTATTCGAAGTTTGAAATTCCGACTTTTTATTCCAAAAATATGCCTATTACTGAAAGCGGCGGTGTGTCACATTTTGCCCAAACCCCCCTGCAGTTTTCACCTTTCTGGGACACATTTTGGACCCAAATTCTGGCTCTCTGCACCTATTCGCAGTTAAAAATTCCGACTTTTTATACTAAAAATATACCAATTACCTAAAGCGGCAGTGGGTCACATTTTGCACAAACCCCCCTCCAGTTTCCAAAATATCCCAAACATCCCAAATTCGATACCTGAGCCATATTTTGGACCTAAATTCTGGCTCTCTGCACCTATTCGCAGTTTGAAATTCTGACTTTTTATAACAAAAATATGCCAATTAGAGAAAGCGGCGGTGGGTCACATTTTGCCCAAACCCTCCTGCAGTTTTCAAAATGTCCCAAACATCCCAAATTCGATACCTGAGCCATATTTTGGACCCAAATTCTGGCTCTCTGCACCTATTCGCAGTTTGAAATTGCGACTTTTTATAAAAAAAATATGCCAATTACTGAAAGCGGCGGTGGGTCACATTTTGCCCAAACCCCCCTGCAGTTTTCAAAATATCTCAAATATCCCAAATTCGATACCCGAGTTATATTTTGGACGTAAATCCTGGCTCTCTGCACCTATTTGCAGTTTGAAATTCCAAATTTTTATACTGAAAATATGCCAATTACTGAGAGCAGCAGTGGGTCACATTTTGCCCAAACCCCTCTGCAGTTTTCAAAATGTCCCAAAAATCCCAAATTCGATACCTGAGCCATATTTTAGACCCAAATTCTGGCTCTCTGCACCTATTCGCAGTTTGAAATTCCGGTTTTTATACCGAAAATATGCCAATTACTGGAAGGTCCGGTGGGTCACATTTTGCCAAAACCCCCCTGCAGTTTTAAAAATATGCCAAACATCTCAAATCCGATACCTGAGCCATATTTTGCAGCCAATTTCTTGCTCTCTGCACATATTCGCAGTTTATATTTCCGACTTTTTATATCGAAATTATGCCAATTACTGAAAACAGCGGTGGGTCACATTTTGCCCAAACCCCTGCGGTTTTCAAAATATCCTATACATCCCAAATCCGATACGTGAGCCATATTTTGGAGCCAAATTCTGTCTCTGCCCGTATTCGCAGTTAGAAATTTAGAATTTTTATACCGAAAATATGCCAATTACTGAAAGTGGCGGTGGGTCACATTTTGCCCAAACCCCCTGCAGTTTTCAAAATGGCCCAAACATCCCAAATTCGATACCTGAGCCATATTTTGGACCCAAATTCTGGCTCTCTGCACCTATTCGCAGTTTAAAAATTCCGACATTTTATACCAAAAATATGCCAATTACTGAAAGCGGCGGTGGGTCACATTTTGCCTAAACCCCCATGCAGTTTTCAAAATATCCCAAACATCCCAAATTCGATACCTGAGCCATATCGCCGTTTTCAGTAATTAGCATATTTTCGGTGTAAAAAGTCGTAATTTGAAAATGAAAATAGGTGCAGAGAGTCAGAATTCGGCTCAAAAATCACGCTCAGGAGTCAAATTTCTGACATTTCAGATATTTTGAAAACTGCAGGGGGGTTTGGGCAAAATATGACCCATTGCCGTTTTCAGTAATTGGCATATTTTTGGTATAAAAAGTCGTAAGATGAAAATGAAAATAGGTGCAGAGTCAGAATTCGGCTCAAAAATCACGCTCAGGAGTTAAATTTCCGACATTTCTGATACTTTGAAAACTGCAAGGGGGTTTGGGCAAAATATGACCCATCCCCGTTTTCAGTAATCGGCATATTTTCGGTATAAAAAGTAGTAATTTGAAAATGAAAATAGGTGCAGAGAGTCAGAATTCGGCTCAAAAATCATGCTCAGGATGTAACAAACTAGGCTGTTGTAAGAATTATCCAGAGTGGTTTATCGACAAAAGAGAATGGGAAGCTGAGCCCGCATGGTGACCTGACCCCCAGGGGAATTCGCGGTGGAAATAACCGACGCTTTGTTCATAGCTGCGTATAATGAATCATCCTATAGTATTCAGTAATTTAGAGAAAATTAGCCTTTATTCATTTTGCATTAAAATTGTATTGTATAATAGTACTGGATACAATATCAAGAGTATTC